TCTCTCTCTCTCTCTCTCTCTCTCTCTCTCTCTCTCTCTCTCTCTCTCTCTCTCTCTCTCTCTCTCTGTGTGTGTGTAAATATATATGGGTGGTCAAGACAGAAGCTTCCAGATTGGAGTAGAAGGAAACAATGGAGGCACAACATGGCTTGTAAGCCGTTTTTTTTTTTTTTTTTTTAAATAAAGCCCAGGGTGTTGTAGAGGCCAAGGCCCAGACGCACACAGTGATTGCAAGCTGGTTGATTGATTATACGGCACAAGAAAGACAGGAGATTGACAAGAGCAAGCCATTGGACAGGGAAGTATCTGTATAAGGAGGGTGGGCTGTTGGCCCCGCAGCAGAAATTTGTGCCCCTTCTTTTTTGTTTAAATTGAACCAGGCCTCCTTTTCGAGGGGAGGTGATACAAGAAGCTGCTCCTACGGTAGTAGGTGGCCTTGTTGCTGCTGTTGTCTACAAGATCCTCTTTTTTTTTTTTTTTTTTTTTCGGTTGGCATATTGGAGAGAATGGTCAGCTAATAAAAAATGTCGCCTAGGCTACTCTTTGGTCCCGTCTTTGACTCCGTCCGTGACAACGGCGGACTTCAATACGGGTTGGACTGTGGGATGCGGCGGTTCTTGGGTTTGCCGGATTGTGAAGTGGAACCATTGATTGATTGTACTGGTTTGCATCTACATGTCATCTCGGTGACTATGCGTGCAACTGTGTGTGTTTTCACATGTTGTCTGACACCATACCATATCAACTCATCTCTACCACCCAGCCCATGTGACTGGATGGTTCAGAGTACTACCGACAGACGGATACAATAACCAGTTAGGGGCTCCAAGCTTTCAAAAAGAAAAAGAAAAGAGTGCACAGTGTAATTTCAAAGAAATTGATCTCAATCTTGCACCAAACTGCAACTGCAACCAGAAATTGCCCTACCGAGATCAGTAAGACTACCGTCTTCACCCGAATAGAACACCCAGTCATTATAGCTGTATTTGGCACAACTTGAGGTCCAGATGCAGGGACAATGACCGGGCGTTCTATTCGGGTGAAGACGGTAGGGGATCCGCTACGGGTCAAGACTACCACAGTCGCCTGACCTGGGCCACCCGGCTGGGTAACCCGGCGAGCCTGCTAGGGGTACCCACTCAACAGCAAAAGGGGGGTCAATTTCCTTTCTCTTTTTGCTTGTCAGCGGGGCAATTTTGCGTCCGCCCACTCAGATGTGCCCAAATCCGGCCTTATGTTTGAATTTGGTGATGTCTCACAAAAGGTGTCCGTGGGATATAAGCGGGGTTCAAAGGGGCTTCAAGCGACTTAAAGGGGTGTGTTATTTGATAATTTGATTGCAGTTCTACATAACAGTTCTGTTTTGTTTTGTTTTCTTTTGCTTTTGTGTTTGTTTTTATGTCCACGGTGACATAGAGGCCAGTTACTACTGTCTTCCCACGAAAATAACTCCCGGGCGTTGTATATGAATCATAGTTGCGGCGCACCTCAGTGCGCAGATTTGCGCACGAATTGCGCACTGCGCGCAGCGCACCGCACAGCGCACCGAAGCGCAGCGCACTTGAAAAATTAGGTCCAAAAAAAAAAAGAAAAAAAAAAAGTAGGGGTTTTGTAATTTCTTAGGGCCCCCAACTCGGCAAAAATGTTAAACTCACCGCGCAAGCTCGCAAACCGGCCGCGCCCATGGCCCAAACTTTTCTTTTGGGTAAGGGCTGCCAAAATTTTGATTTCCGCAGGCCCTTCCACCTGAAATCACACTACGATTATTCAACTTGTCATGTATGCAAACAGCGAAACAGCAAATTGGCGACAGGCGCCCTTTCAGTACTCAAGATATCGTATCCACATAAGAGTTCTCTTCAAACTGGCTATGGCGACTGAGCGTCCACACAACTCACTGTTCGCACTCTGGATCACCCTGGATGTCCCACACGCAACACTCAGTATCACACTTCACACACACACATGCTA